ATTCCAAATCCTTTCTTTTCTGTTTTAGTGGGTGGCCCCGTTTGTTTTTTATCTCCTTCTTCGACAACTTCCTCTTCTTTATCTTCACCGTCATCTTTTTCGCCTTCCTTTCCTCCCTGATTTGTTTTGCTGACCTTTTTACGTTTTTTCGGGGATTTGAGGGCCTTTGGTTTCGTTTTCTTTCCTGGCACCATTAGCGTCGACGCCTTCTTTGTTTTCTCTTTGATCTGTTCCTCTCCTGACTCCTCATCGTGATCGGAGGAAGCCTGGGATGCGGTGACCGTTATATCCACGGTGGCTGTAACAACACACGTTTACCCTTAGGCTCACGTCAAACGTCGAACAAACGTCGAAATTCACATGAGACGAACTAAACTGAGCGACTCAAGTTCATGATAAGTTCGATGTTTGACACAACTGAATTTGTCGGACTGAATCTAGATCGACCATCACGTTCTCAGTGGTGGATCTAGGGGAGGGGCCGGGGGGGACCGCCCCCCCTTATTTTGGGTAAAAAAGAAAAATCACAGAAAGAAGAATAGCCGGCAGGGCAAGCAAAAATACCCTCCCCCCCTCCCTTTAGCTCAAGGTCAGGATCCGCCACTGGTTCTATTTAACAATTAGATTATGAGCTCGAGATTTCTATCGCGTGATAGTTGACGAGGGCGCAGGCAATATAATTATTTTCAAAATTCCTACCCAAAACACGTCAGCTTTGTTTGATGAGCAATTTTTCTGATATTAGAGGTCCGTAATGAGTGCAGATTCTAATGCTTCTTTACCTTTAATGGATGAAGTTGTGTCAGACCGTAATCTCTCTTCTTTCACTTCTGCCTCGGCCAAGGCCAGCTCTGATTTAACGTAAGCAGTTTCCTGAGAAAAAAACAAAGGTGGCGCAAACTCGCATACAAATAATTTACTAATTTATGGGAGACAGTAATGGCCAAAAAATGAAGAACTAGAATTTGGCTGCGAACAGTGAACGCCCCTCTGGTTTAGTTAAAATACCTTCTTTGATGCAGACAGCTGTGCCCTTAGTTTGTTGAGGTCATCTTTTAAGCGCTCAATGTGTTCTCTTTGTTCCTTTAATTCTTCTGAACAGTTGGCAAGTCTTGCTTTGTACGAAGGGCACTTCGGACAGTCCTTGACATGTGCAGATTTGACATTACGCGCTTCCTGTGCCACTAGACTTGATGGTTCAGTGCTTTTCTCACCTGCTGGTATCTTTAAACATGCGAACGCAATTATCAGACGTTAGCATATAATCACCACGCGCACTTAACGTATTTGGTTATGAAAATTGCTTTAAAGAACTGATCGAGGGTAACCTGCTGAAAATATGCCAAAACAACAAATATATATACAACCAGCAGTACAGCCTGTGAACAGGTTCTCTAGTCAAGGATGGGAGAAAAGAAGGTGAGAAGGGAGGAGAGGGAGAGGCTCGTCAACGCTCCGACCCCCACCCCATTCCCTCTCGGTCACCTCACTCTCACCCAGTTCCTTCTTCACTCTTCCAGCCGCGGTCATTCCCCTCTAGCTGGAGCCTGTCCATAGGTTACCAGCATTCAACATAAGGTCTATTACGAAGTTCTGATTCAGGAAGCTTGAAAAAATCCTCTTGATTCAATTTAAGCCTTTGAATTGGTTAAGAAAGTAGAAGATGGGTTATATTGTTCTTTGAAAAGGCTTTTGGTATTTCTATAAATAATGGTTAGTAAAAAGCTCCGCACTTCACCACATATCCAACTTTATCGTCACAATCTTTCTATGTCTTTGATTACACAGGAAAGTGTGCCATAACTCGGTTTGTTAATCCTTTCACATACCTCCTTACCAACAGCTGCAGGTAGTGAAGCTAGCTTTCTTTGAAGTTCTCTGTTTTCCTGTAACATAAAAATGATTATGAGATCAGTAGCAACAGCGGCGGTATTTCCATTCTATTTTAACTATACTTCCGAACAAGGTAACTATATAGTAATAAAAATCAATAAACCTCTTTTACAAGGATACCGTGTAAAAACATGCAGACTCCTAAATGACATCGCTTTCGAAGATGCGTGTTTTCTAATTTCATTTTAAAATCATTTAAGAGTTTGATTGTTTGATCTCGTTAGGTAAGTTATATTCATAACACAGCCCGCCCTCTCCCTCCCCCAATATTAAGTTGGCTGAAACGACAGACGGGTTGCATCTTTCGCTTGATTTGATGCTAGCTCGTCTTACCTCTCCTTCACATTTTGCATAATAACCTTGTCAAGGTCTTGGAATTTATTTTTTAGCGTGCTAATAAGCCATTAAAGGGAATGCTGTCTCACCTCTTCCAATTTGAACACAACTTTCCGTGCATCCCTCACTTGAGCCTGCAGTATGTCAGTGGTAGTCATGTCCGCGCTCAAGCCACTGAGATTAAGTTTAATCTGAAAAGTGAGAAACAGCGAGTGAGATGACCTGATTGTAAAACATTAAAGCTAGTTAGAAAAATAAATGCCGTTTAATG